GTCCCTCTCATGACCCTGTACTATGCAATCTGTGACTGCACACATTTCCTTCAGCTGCAACAGCAGCCCTAGCACCTAGCACAGAGCCTGGCATGGGGGTACCCAACAAATGCTGGAGTAAACTGAAATGAGTAGCTCCTTGAGAGCAGGTCTTTTTTTTAACTTTGCCCTGTTGGTTACTCTGTATCACCGGTGCCTAAAAGAGTGCTCCACACAAAGTGATTACTCAATAAATATTTATTAAATGGATAAGTAGGTGAACCAGCAGGACTCAGTCCGCCTGTCTACACTGTATCCTGCATTTGGATCCATGGGCAATTTCGTAGTTCACAGGGGATCACAAGAAGAAAGACCCTCCAGACTGTTGAGAGCTGCTACCGCAGTCTTCAAGGAAATAGTTTTGCCCTCTCCTTTAAGTCTGGAAACCATGTCCGATTCAACTTCCTATTTCCTGGTTGATGGGAATGTAGAAAATAATTTATGGGAAGAAATCTACTGTATAATGGACTAATGATACAAAAGTCAAGACAGCAAATACACAGGGTGTCCATTCTTTTGTTAACTAGAAACAACTTTAAAAGACAATGAATTGTGCAGTAGTCAACGATGCTGCAGTTGTCTGTCTTACAGCCTCAAAGACTCTAGGCAGGAAGCAATTTCCCAAACAACATCAAGAAGTAAACTGGGCTGCGTGGGGAAGGGTGGGTTATCTGAATATTTGAGGGGACCATGAGTCATTTTAAAAACACCTCTCCTTCTCTTCCCTTCCCTGCCACTGTGTGAGCATTACTATACTAATAGATGGAAAAAACCCAGGGAATACTAAAAAAGGAATATATTGATATTCCAGAAATGGAATATCAACAGAAGTGAGGAAGAGCTACATTTTCCAAAGTATCTCCTATAGATCACTTACAGGAAATGCTGAGAATTGTGCAAAGGAGATCCTTTTGTAATTTATTTGGAGAATTGTTAGGTTAAACAAGGTTACACGGGCTTCTTGATGGAAAGACTTACTAGAATCTATAAAATATTAGCTATATTCTGAATCTCCAATGTGTTTGTGTTGGGGATTCCATACATCATTTTCTCCTTATTTGGTCAAATAATCCTTGTTTTTCAGAACATTTTCCACAAATGGTGTTTTGTACAACACTCTTTAGGAAATCTTAGGGTAAGAGATCAAATCAGGACAAAGGTGGCAAGAAATAAAAGAGAATCGGTTGGTAGATTAATCAATACAAATAACTGCTTATTAAAAATGAGATGACCTTTTGGCCATTTAATTCATTTAGAATAACTTCCCATTGTTCTGGGAGTACAATTACAATCATGAAATTAGAGAACTATGATTAGTTCGCAGGCAATAATAAAATCATTTATCACACTAACAGAGACAGTACAGTAAATTTCCAGACTAAAGTTGTCTTTTTTTTTTTTTTAAGATTTATTTACTTATGCATATAAGAACTGTGGTACAGGCCAAAGGTGCAGGTGGTAGAGGGTGAGAGGATCCACCAGAGACAGAATGGGGAACAGAACAGGCAGACTGACTGAAATACACTGCTTAGGGGAGCAGTGGGAGAGACAGGAGAGGTCTGCTGCACCATGTGGGTTGCTCCCTGGCCGTCTGGGGATCTAACTCATGCTACAGAGGCTGCTTATAGCTTCACAGTGCTGTGCTTCATCCCTTGCACCACCAGGGAGGCCCTATCATTGTCTTTTAATAAACAACAACTATGGACACAAGTTTAGAACGCCTCTCTACACACTGACCCAGGCAGAACAGAAAACCATGATTTTTAAGAATCTTCTCATAGATCTGAAAGGGAAACTTTGCTTTTGGGTTTGAAAAAAAGCAAGCTCTTATGTTCAAAATATTATATCTTCCAGTTGGGTCTACATTAAGCTCATGAATAGGCAAAACTTTGTCCATATTAGTCCATATTTTCACTTCAGTTGAATACTGTCCTCTGCTATTTCCAGTATGTCCTCTAAAGGTACACAAACAAGTGCATTGTCTACACATTAATGATTCAGAGTTGGAGTACTTGAGTTTCTATTCAAATTCTTTGCCTATCAGTTGAGTGACTTTGGTCCAACTGTCAGGCAGGCATATTAATTTGGCTGCTCTTTCAACCTGTTAAACTCAACCTGTCTAAAACTGACTATGGTTTTTGTCACAGTTCTGCTTCCTATAAGGCTTATCCGACCCAGGGACATGCTGGGGAATGGAGGAGTCATCTATACACTCACCTCTGACACCCACCTAGACCTTCAGAACAGCACCCAACTGTCCTTCTCGCCCATGTCCTCACACTGCTATAGAGTGTGTACCCTCTTTTGCATTACTATCAAGAGTCCCCTGAACCCTCCAATTCATTTTCCAGACTCTCACAGAAGGACCTTCCTAGAATAATCATCTAACTTGCTTAAAAGAGCTCCCAGAGCTGTCAGGGGGAGTTTCAGTTCCTTACCTTTGTATAAAAGTGCTGGTGTGCGCGCACTCTCTCTCTCTCTCTCTCTCTCTCTCTCTCTCTCTCTCTCTCTCTCTCTCTCTCCCATCCTTCTCCCTCTTAATCTCTCTCTCCCTCTCTCTCTCCTTCCCATCTGTCCTCCTTCCCTCTCTCACACACACCCCTATATTCTAGGACTATAAAATGACCTTCAGCAGCTCTCCTGCCCACCTTTTACCATGAAGGTACCTCTCTTTTTCTCCTTTTCCTAATAAACCTGTCCTTTTAAAATGTAAAAAATAAAAATAAAAAATAAAATGACCTGCAGTTAAATGTACGAGTACATCATCTACCTCAGGTCTCTGTGTTAGATCTATTTCTGCTGTGCCTTGAATGCCTTTACTTCATTACATCACAGCTCCAGGGTCATGTCTTTCACAGGCATCTACCCTGACTTCTACACCACCACACTCTGTGAAATTCCCAGAGTGCTCTTGGCACGTGACTCTTGTAGCATTCACAGAGCATGCTGGGAGGGCTTATTGTTCTGACCCACTCCCAATTTGTCAGTATCTTCAAAGCAAGAACTTGAAATTCTAAATTAGTTCTACTTTACTCTGTTCTAAAGTAGTTTGATGGTAGATTACAAGGAAGGGAAAATATACAGGATGATAAAGTAAAAATCAGACGTTGGCTTATTAAAAAAAGAAAAAGGGTAAAGATTTAAATAAAGGGGGAATATAAAGTGCAGACAGCAGTACCAGAGACATCTGCAATAGGAAGGTCATTATCTTAGCTCCAAGTATTTTATCAGCCAACCCAAAGCAAGAAAGCTGACCGGTTACACCTTTAACAGTAAAATCCAGCCAAATGCTCAGGGGAAGTCAGAAATCCTGACACACAACCAGAAAGGGGTTCCACATACAGGTTTTTAAGAAGAAAATGTGAAGTTACCCTCCACCTCCTCAGGCAGTCAGGGCAGGCTGCAGCTCCCTCAGCACTGCCAGCACCTCACCCACATGGGGCTGCACCTCCAGAGGAGCCCCAGGCAGGTGAGGTTTGGGGAAGAAATTCAGCTGTCAGAATTAACCCAGGAGAGTCGGCAATGTGGGTGGGCACACAGACTCCCAACAGTGCCACAAATCACCCTCTCCAAGACCATTAACAAACATGGGGTAAAGAGTTCAAGATTTTATGACCTGACAAATACCTGCAATGCAGCTATTCTATATCACCAATTAAAGGTAGAATCAAGGATATTAACCAGATGTCAACATTGGTGGCTTCTGAACAAGGGTCTTTTCCTATGTTTTGTCTGTAACCCCAGCATCCAGCATTGTGGTTTTCAGCCCTGTCAAACAGTTGTTCTTTTATATTAACAGATATCTTGTAATGTCCCATCTACTCTCCTGAAATTAAATAAATAGATAATATAACTCTACTGTCCCCAATTTTTGTAACCCTACCCTCACATATAACTTTTAAATGAAAATAATACTCTAAAATATAAAGCCAAAGGAAGGTAATTGATAAGAAGATAATATGTATTTCAATACATAAAACCTTTACCCTACTTACCCTAAAAGACATAGCAATGTGGTCAGATTCTTCTAAGCCCTGACTTTGGGGGAAAGAACAAAATCAGAATCCATTTTAGAAGAAAAATACAAGAATATTCAAGAAGGTAGGTAAGAATGCTCCCTAGAAGAAAAACTCTCATTCACTATTAGGACTCTCTAACAACAGATCAGGCTTATTTGTGTATGGAAAAGGGGAGCGGAACCTAAACTAAAGCAGAGATTGCATGGCCAGATAAACTGCCAACTTGGAGAGGAGAAGGAAGTTCTACGCTCTTAAAATGAGCTGGGGTTCTGTACGACTGCAGAATCAACCTGGCAGCAGACTTACACCATAGGCCACAGTAGAGTGACAATGTTATAAAAAGTGTACCTCTTGTGGTAGACCCCCACCTCCAGAAGATTTAGACATTCAGTCTCTAAAACCTCATCAGGACTGTGAACAGCTGTGCTGACAACCTGGGCTGGCAAAACTCTGCAGCCTGAAGAACATCGAGCACCCCCACCCTTCACCTCTACACACCTCTACACACCATGAGTCTGGTACTCCCCAGACTACCAGAACACCTGTGCCACTGAGGAGGTGGCAGTCCAACAGAGTAAGAGTTCCACAAGTAGATCAAGCTAAAAACCAAGTAACTTATGAAGGACTGGATGGAATGAACAAGTGAACTTGAGAATGAGGATAATCTCTGAGCCAAGAGAGTGTCCTGAGATCAGGAATGGGGAAGCATCTGGCTCAAAGTCTGGTCCAGGAAGGCCTGGCAAAGAGCACCCAGTAATACTAGTTGAATAACAAGTGGAAACAATGTGGTTCAATGAGACCCTAGCAGAGGACCCAGAGTATCCCCAGCTTGCTCTCAGCTCTTGGTTTCTGCTCTGCTTCACCACACATTTCAACCACCCACTGATGGATTAACTCATCACTTCTGAGTTCTCCAAGTAAGGAATGAACATATGTACATACCTTCTTCGGTTTCTGCAGCATTGGAGGGCATCTCTGGCCTTTCCCTGGGCCTGGCTTCTTGCTCTTCAAGAGCCTAAGGAAGGAAAAGGGGGAAAAAAAATCAAATCACTGAAAACCACTGGAGGCTTCAGACATACAACAAAGAGATGAAAATCATAATCAGGGATCTGGGACAGGTCAGAGACAGGGTCTTGGGAGGTAGGGAAAGGAGATGTGGTAAGTATCTGCTGAAAGAACACATAGGCAGTGCCCCAGGACAACACTGGGCCTAGCAGAGGAGTCCAGAGGCATGGGCCAAAACTGAATCCTCTATTATAAATCCTCTACCACTTCCCCAGGTTACAACCAACAGTAGGTTGCCAGCAACCACAAAGAGGATAGAACAGAAAATCTTGAATTGGAAAGAAGGCCCACTGTTGTATGCACCTGCCTACCTGGACCAACAAAGCCACACCCTAAGACACAGGGCTCTTGGGACCCAACTGATGGGAGCAGGACCACCAGCACAGGGAGACCCAGAGGAAGCAGGTCAGAAATGTGCCTTAGACTTTGAGCTGGCATTGGCTGGTAGACTGTCCCTGACTTGGCCAGCCTAGAGAGAAGGTGCCCTCTGGAGCCTTCTGTATTTTTCTTCAATGGATTCCCCACAAATAGTAAAAACGTACAGAAACATAGAATTATGCGTTGACTTGCCAAAGGTAAAATAGCCTAAGATTGTACCAGCCCATGTTCCAAAACCAATTAGTGCCTCAACATGGGCTGAAAACTGACATAGACCCCCCCCAGACCCCCTGGGCAGGTTATTAGGCTCAGGGTATCAAGTGCCTTATTCTTGGTGATTTCCAAACATCCTCGGGCCAGAGCAAAAAGTACATGAAAATATACACAATGCACCAAACAACAAAGGATAATAAGAAGTGCCCAGTCACCTACCCTCCCTGACTATGCATGTCCCCTCAGGCTACCCCAGGGCAGTATTCTCTCCTCCAGGACCCCCATGGAATCGGTGGACGGACCCGAGCAGAGGGCAGTACAAGGGGCGGAAGAGGATTCACAATGCAGGTTTCAAGGTCAGAGACAACCACCAGCCTACACACACACACACAAACACACACACACACACACACACCCATATATCCTAGCGCTTCAGTGAGGATAACTGCCAAACCTATGTGAAAAGGGGATCAGGCAATGCTGGTTTCTGATGACAAAAAAAAAAGACTTGAAATAAGGAAATACTTTTTTTTGGTAAGTGAAGTGTATTAAAGCTTAATTTTAATTCCCCTAATTTGGCTGTAACTTTAGAACACTTAAATTTCCTAGCTGCTTTATTAGCCAAATTCTACAACTAAATTATCAGTATGCTCATTAACAGAAAAGGCTTTGTTATGAGAGGCTAACTAAAACATGATTAAAAGATAAAGCTAAGATTACTTCCTAATATCTGTCTTTACAGATTGGATATTGAGCACAAACCTGTCCTTTCTAAATATTTAGTATGTATTACAAATTATCAGTCCACCAGTAACAGCTGCAGTGGTAATAATATTAATCCTTTGCAACCAAACAAGTATGGCATCTGAATGAGTCACTTTAACATCTCTAGTATATGGTGAAGCAAAGTCAGGTTTCTTAGCAAGGTCTCATCATTGTTCTAGAAGGCTGCAGATAACTAAGCAATGACACTAGGTGCCTCCTTGACAAGACTGAGGGTGGGCTGTGCTTCAATGAGAATAAATCAGTCTCTCACATTAAATTCATTGTCTATAACCATTCTGTGCAGGTAAACTTTTAACAGGTAAGATTTCATCAAGCATGACTATCTTATACATAATCTCTTATTTGTTATTCCAAATTATAAGCTTTCAGTTGGACAACCTATAATAATGATTGCTACCTGCTCACATTTAAAATAACATCTAGATCCGAGAACTTAAATAAGGGACCAGGAAAATGAATAACTATAAGAAAGTAAAAATCAAAATCAACAAAAAACTATGAGCCAGAGACACTTTTTGGGGGGGGGGGGGGGGAGGGATTGGGGTCAAAATGGGAGGGTTGCAATTGTATGGGGAATATAAAAATAAAATCTATTATTTAAAAATAAATAAATAAATAAATAAAATAAAATAACATCTAACTAAATGAGCTACCAAAAAACTTAACTTCAGGAATACTACAGAAACATCTTGCTGGGCAGTCACCAAATAATGGCTTTGAATTTCCTAAAGAATCTCAGCCCTTATTCCCTTCCTAATCTCCCTGCTTACTACCCAGTCACTCAATTTGGGGGAGGAAGAAACAGGAGTGTTGCTGAAACCTAGAATACAGTATTTTCCATTTTAACTCATTTCAATCTAACAGATAATTTTATCAAGTATTTTTCATAAAATGAAAACCTCTGAGAAACTGGGAAGCAATCTCCACTTTGTCTGTTATTGTCAAGTCCACTACAAAAAAATCACTAAAGCTTCTAGACGGATTCATTCTTCCCCAAGTTCATCAGTACTATTTCAAATGTGTTAGAGAATTCACGAATCCAACCTAACAAGTTGGAGGATTTTACAATGACATAAATGTTCAATAATGTGTGCTACACACAGCATGCCCTATCCTCTTGGAGAGTTTTGTCACCAGCTTCAAGGCTGGTGTCTGAGTCATTTCTCAGAACACTTGTTGCTGTGCTGTGCTCTGAGGGCGCTGCAGGAGTGGGGTGCACTACACTTAAGGTTTTCAGCAAGGTCAAGCCTCTGCCAAGTATCCACCCTGAGGGCCTAGTAGGGAAACCACAAAGATAGCTGAAGCTTTAGTATCATTAAATAACAAACTTCCTTAAGGAAAATGAGGACACACTGTGTGCCAGAAAAGGAAGCATGACATTTCCTAAAGCCCATGAAAAGTCAGTCAACAATTATCTTTATTTGATATATAAAGTTTTGTTATCTTTACCTTAATTACATGAAGTAAACATTTTACAAAAGTCAAAACTGGGATAAACAACAGTATCAGCTGTCAGTGGCAGCACTGGAAAGTCTCACAATCATGAACCTGTGCCTTTCCAACAGGTGTACTGGAGAAAAGCAGATATCACAGGATCCGGTGAGTGAATCCATTATGCCCCTGAGCACTGTCAACTCCACTGACTCAAGCCCTTTTACACAAAATAATATTTTGCTTAATCGTTAAAAGTTTAAAATTTTCATTCAAAAAATTAAAAATTTTTCTTTATAGTCTTGCAATTCTACAAAAAAAAATAAAATAATGAAGAAACATTTAAAGCCCAATATGGGATTCCATGTTACCACTCCAAGCTAGTGTTTGGGTGATGGTGGAGGAGGGAAAATCCTCTCTGAAAAGGAACTGGCTTCAAATGCCTAGCCCACATTCAAGAAGACTGAACCCTAAGGCAAATGCTTAACATCTAAGGTGTAAGAAGCCCAGAAGTAGATCCTACATGTATAATAGCCCTAAATGCAACTGCTTTATGAAAATTACAATACAGTCAATAATAAATTGACAGAACATCTCCAATATTAGAATATTAAAACCCAACCATGGTAGAACTGATTTATGAGAAGTACAGGAAACAATACCATACACAATACTATTTTATACTGCCAAATATTTTATAATAATCTTCATGCTACTAATGTGACACTTTTCTATTCCATGTCCCCCAAAGTTCCACTAGAAAAAAACCAAAGTGCTACCTCCAAAAACTATTCCCAAAACAATGAGTTGCTGCCGGAACCACCAAGGATCGTGAAGCTTTTATATAAGTATGAGCACAAACCTTGATGAGAAAGGCTCTATCCCAAAAGTATTTCCTGAAGAGTTTAATATCTGCCTCCAACAAATGCACAGCGGTGTGGTTCAGCGTCAGGGTCAGTGTCTCCGATGAGTGACTATACTGCAGGAAGGCGTCTTCACTGAGTTGCACTCGGGAGAAGCTGGGGGAACGCCTGCCCTGAAAACTAAAATGTCACAAATAAAAACCCACTCACAGCATCAGAGACACCAACCCTAAGATCCCAGTCCCCTCAATGCCCGATTACAAATCCAACCGGCAAAATGACCCTCAAAAGCCATCTACTGATAAATATACTTAAGATCATGTAAACAAAGCCTAATGAAGTCATCTTTCTTTTTCCACCTAGAGATGTCCACTGGAAAAGCCATTCACATATATTACATACCTTAAGGATTTAGAGAACTAATAAAATAGTACTCATTTCTAAACAGAGTCTGGTGGCTTAATATTTCGTTCTCCCTTTAGTCTGAAAAGATACCTCTTGCCTGAACATGGCCACATGCAGTAGAATAAATTAGCTGGCTACCAACGGTTTGTTAGGTGATTACAGTGGAAAACAGATATGATCCCTGGGGAGTGTGGTGAGGGTTGGATGTTATAAACAAGTGAGATATTCAAAACACAGTGATCCACTGTTGTAAATCATTTTCTCTTGCAGATTAAAACATGTATAAAATCAATTCTTGAATACACTTATAAACCAAGGAACAACATCCCCAAACCAAATTCTTGAGAAAAAGCTTATTTTCTGTGCTGTTTTGGCTAGGAACAAATGCACATTTACTAGCAATATGTAGACATCATGGTTAGCATCACGACACTGTGGATGACTTATAAAATCACACAATAGCAACAGTAAAGAAGCCTCAGGAGGGAAATGTTAGTGCTGCCAGAAAACAGCCCCCCACGGCATGTGTCACATCCCCACAGACTGCTCCCAGATTCCTCCCTTCACAGAACTAACTCTCAGCCTCACTCCTCTTCTTCCATGGCCTCATTTTGTTAATGAATATATTATATATAACTATATATATTATACTTCAAATTGAATAAATATTATCTCCATCATATGGAGTGACAAAAAGATATCCATAAACAGCACTTGTATGCTAAGATTTGCAGCACCTCCCCAAACTCTTGACACTAATTACTGGCAAGGGCTCCAGAATCCTCCAGAAAACAACTCCCAGTGCCAATGAAAAGTCACTGAGCCTAAACAATATTATCATTGTTATTCATTTAAAAAATGGAAGCTCCCTCATATAATCAGAATTTGGCACAGAGTCTATATCTAATGTCATCTATGAATGGGTGCAGTAAGCTTCAATCTTTGAAAGTTAAGTATCTTCCAGTTTTAGACACAGTGGGAGCCACAAAACTATCAAAGACAAAGAAATCACCCTTCAGGATCTCGAGGTAACACTGAGCCATCCACAATGACTAAGGAAAACAGTCCCGCCTGGTCCTTATTAGCCAAGAAAGTTGTGTGGTGTTAGAGTGAGGAAAAGGTCAAGTCCCTTTGAGTGGACTTTTCTTTTGGCTGATGGTCACTTGAGTAAATGAGAAAGAAGTAAACAGAAAGCTGACTCTACTCCAATAGCCACATATACACCATATGATCAGAAATTGAATGCCATGAGCCAATTGAAAAAAAAAAAACAGTCCATGAAGTTACACCAGGTAATAACACTTGCACAAAATTTATTATTTAGGTAGTACTTCATAATTTTGAATGCACTTTCCAGTGCACTGAAATATATAATAAACAATATATTCATTATTCACTGAAAGTGCTGATATCATTAAGAAACTTTACAGTTCACAAATTATTTCCTTTATATTATTTCACTAAACCACCCAATTGCCTACATGGTATCTAGGGTTTGTCTATTTCTATTGCTTTAACAAAAATTTATATTCTTTCAATGAATGTCATATACTGAACACTGTACTAGAAATACTATAGTGGGTATAAGGAATACTTTCAGCTCACAAACAATGTAGGATGGGGCATGAAACAAATCATTACTATATATGTACAGATATAAATTATGATTAATAAGTTAATCATAATTTTAATCACAAAAGACCAAAATATAATTATATTAGACCATAATCATAAAAGACTATATAACATCAAAAGCATCTCTGAAGAAAAGATATTTAAGCTGAAACTTGAAAGGTGAAGTGGGACGTGTTTCCTAACTTTTTCTTACTTACTATAACCCCCTGTGGTACCTCAAAATGTTAATACCAAATATATCTGTCTATATGTTACATCTCTATCTGTACTTTCACATGAGAACTAATGATAAACATAAATCAATATTAACTTGTGATAAGGTTATTTCAATTTTTCCATAAATGCTTGGAAGACTTTATAGAAACAGATTAAGAGAGAAAATACCAAACTCACTTGGTGATGTCTTCCACCAGCTTCGAGTGCCCACCATGTACAGCTAAATCCAATGGCGTGGCGCCCTCTTCATTGGGTAAAGCCAAGGCTTCCACTCCCCCAGGGAGACACAAGAGGAACTGGGAAAGCTTAGCAAGGCCCCATCTCACAGCCAGGTGTAGAAGAGACTCTCTGTGTAGAGAAACTGGAAAGAAAGAAAAATGGATGTGAGTTCCTCCATTTAAAAAATTTGCCTCATACATTTTTAATCAGAGATCATGTATTTAGATGTAATGTCAGAGGAACGAGCAAAAGTATCTAATCCAAACATCTCATTTAATTCATGAGTATATGTGTGGTTTGCCCAAGGTCAGTTGCTGCAGGTGCTGGAGCCAGGTCTGCTCACTGCTGGTACAATGTTCTTTCCACCCTGCATGGAGCACATTCACATCACCTTTACCACACTCATGTGCAGTAAAGTCAACCAGGGAAAAACAGCACCAGGAGCAGCTCATCCCCTAGAAATAGACACCACTGCCCTCCAGCAAGGCAGGCCCTCAGGGTGCAAGCCTGAAGGAGTCTGCTTCCACCCTGTACTTCTCCTGAAGAAGGGACTTCTAAGTCCAAGAAAACTTAAGCTCGCTTGTGTCAGCCTTTTCTAGAGTACACCCAGCAGTGCCTGGGCAACACCCCCCTCACCACCCCTCTTCCTGCGTGCAGGGCACTGCACCCAACTGGCCCCACAGGAGAGCAACCCCAGTGCTTTCTGCTAGTCCCAGCTCTGTCCCTCCTTCCTGGCTCCACCCTCACAACCTATCCAGTGGGAGAGGACAGCAAACACCGGGGGACTGACCCCTCATTGTTGGCACTCTCTCCTGCTCTCTCTCGCCCAGAATCTAAGAGCTTACTGGGGAGACTGGAAGGAGGAAAAGAAAGGATTTTCTGAAGTTTGAAGAAAAGAAAAAGCTACCTAAAATGTTTTGAGAGAGCTTTCTTGTGCAGTACAAAATTTCAGAGAAGAGAATAAGGCAAACAGTTTGAAACAGAAAACATTGTGACATATATAAATAATTCTGCTCGTTATAGAGTTTCAGATTCTCAACTGCAGTCAGGAAAACAAACTGTGGAAGGAGTGATAAAATTTGGCAGAGGTGGGGTGTTTAATTAAAATGAAATCTTTTTCTTTTTTTTTTTTTTTTTTTAACCAGACAAATATGTCTCTTCTTTTGCTGGTACTAGGAATCATTTGAACTAAAAACAGAATTATTAGTAATTGTTCTAATAGCAAACATTAAAAGATATGACCTGTAAAGTCCTAGGAGCAAGATCACCCAGACACAAAAAGGTCATGAATAAGGTGTGTGGTTCAATCAACATTCCCAGCACAGAACAATGGGAGGCTAATTAGCCCCAGACTGGGAAAGAGTCTCAAAGTCAGTGCCTCTCACCCTCCACCTTGGCTTCTCTGCCTGTTAGCAAGGCAGTCACATCAAGAACCCCAGCTTCCAGGGCCTCCCAGGTGGCACAGCAGTTGAGCGCTGGGCTGCGAAGCTGCCCACAGCCTCTGCAGTGCTGGTTCAATTCCCAGCCATCTGCGAGGGTCCCACATGGTGCCCAGACCTCTCCTGCTGCACCCGCTGCTCCCCTCAGCAGTGTACTTCTTCAGTCAGCCTGCTCTGCTCTCCCCTCTGACTCTGGTGAATTCTCTCACCCTCCCGATCTTCTGACTGTACCCAGTGCTTGTATAAATAAATAAATTAAAAAAAAAACAGATTCCTGCTCTTTTTGGTGACAAAGGATACTTGAAAGGCAGCACATATCAAGAGGCCTTCCAGAGCATCTGAGGCCTGAGAGTTTGGGTTATTACTAAAATGTAATTTTTATTTACCATTTAATCAAAATTCAACACCATTATCAGAGCTATACAAGGTCTGGCTGTGCCTTCAAATTAGCAGAAAATTTGTGTTGGAAGACTGAAAAATAACCTAGTCCTCAGGAATTCATAGTCACTGCTAGAGGAAATGTAAGTTGGTACAACCAACTTGGAAAACACAGTGGCACAATCTAATAAATTAAGAGAAATTAATGTTCATTCCTACATTCCTACATATAAACCCTAGTGAAAGCTATGCTCTCCATGCACCTGTGACCACCTGCAAGATGCAAAATGATCAAAGAAATAATCTTAAGATCTATCAACAAAAGAATACATTCTATTGTTATCTATATATTCTAACAACACAAATGAATTCCAGACTCACATATGAGATACTAAGAAGTACAATGTAGAGGGTCAAAATCACAAAAGAATATACAGAATAGGGCCTCCCTGGTGGTGCAAGGGGTTAAGACACAACCTATGAAGCTCGCTGCAGCCACTGTAGCACAAGTTCGATCCCTGGCCAGGGAGCTACACACATGGCACAGCTCCTGACTCACCTGCTGCTCCCCTCAGCAGTGTATTTCAGTCAGTCTACCTGTTCTGTTCCCCACTCTGTCTCTGGTGAATCCTCTCACCCTCCACACCTCTGGCCTGTACCCTAGTTCTTGTATGTATAAATAAATAAATCTTTGGGGGAAAAAAAAAAGACTATACAGAATGTTTCAACTAGTAGGAAGCTTTGGGTTTTTTTTTTTAATATGAAATTTTTAAAAAGTGAAAACTCAATCATATTATTTAGGGATACATAGTTAGAAAAACTACAAAGAAAAGCCAAGAAGTGATTACTATAAAAGTCAACAAAATACCCCTGAGGAATGTGCCTGGGAAAGGGTGGGCTATTGCAGTCCAAAGTTACCTCCATCTCCTCCCTCCTCTCTTCCCCACGTGACCCAAACAGCGATATCAAAAGTCAACCCCAGAAGAATATTTCCAAGTGAGTCTAATGCAAGGTCAGGATTGAAATCTGCTACTTCTATCAGTGGTTAACAAAATACATATCTATGTCTCATTTTTATATCACTGTCTTCTCAACCTGCTAAGATCTAAAAATTTTAGCTAAAAATTTTCACCAACAAGTAAACAAAAATTATATACTTTTAGAAGTTATTTTAAAACCACAATTCTTGCCGCTAAGCCAGGTTATAGCCTTAAAGCTAAAATGTGATGGACAATAATCACATGATATTTTTAACACAAATTAATTCAAAACTACTTTTACTTTGTAATGTTCAGTTATGTTTTATAATTTCAGTTTATAAACAATAATTTGTTTTATTTTATTTTTAATTTATTTTTATATTCCCCATACAATTGCACCCGCCTTATTTTGACCCCAATCCCTCCTTTCCCCATCCCCACATAGTGTGATTCTGGTCTATAGTTGTTTGATTTTGATTTTTTCTTTCTTATAGTTATTCTTTTTCCTGGTCCCTTATTTAGGTTTTCTAGATTCCTGCTATGAGTGAGACCATCCGGTATTTTTCTTTTTCTGGCTTATTTCACTGAGCATGACCCCTTCCAGCTCCATCCATGTTGCTGCAAATTGCATGTGTTTATCTTTTTTGATTGCTGAGTAATATTCCATTGTGTATATGTACCACATCTTGAAGAATAATTTTTTAATTCACATAAATCCAGTTCATTAAAATAAGTTCTACTCTGATTTCCAAAGCCACATACTATTATAGAGATCTCAATTTGAGGACCTATGTCATTCAGCTAGCAAACATTGAATGAAAATACTCTATCTGCCAGACACCATGGGCAGAAAGATAGACAAGACACTTGTTTTTGAGAAGCATGCTGTCAATCTACTTTTGTTCAGAATAAAATAAACTCTGGCCCATAAATTACTGTCCAATAACCTACAGTTCTAGATTTAGACACAAATAATGTGACCAGAAATAAGGAGACTATCTGGTCTATAAGAAAACTGCTCTGCAGGATAAATTAATTCAACCTACATCTTCTATCATGACTTGAAAATTAACAGCTGTTTATAAAATGTTAAAAATTGATGAGCAGAAAGAGAACGAAAAAATATTACTAAAAAATTTACATGGAGAATAGAATTGAGAATTAGGCATGAGCATCACACACAGCCTGGTATTTTTACAGGATTGAAATTCCATTCCAGGGAATGGAAGACGAGGTGATGTGGTATGGCAGCTTCCATTTTGGCAGTCTCATCAGGGTTTGGGGATGTGTGTAAACAAATCAGCTTTCCACATGGAAGGATCAGAGGCTGGAAAATCCAGGCTAGGAATTACAAAAATAAAGACACACATCGGGAAGATAAAGACACAGGATGCCCCGTGGAACACACACCAACATGACGGGACCATAAGCCCGAAGATAGAAGAGGAAAGATACAAGCATCAGTCACAGGTTCTAGCTTCCTAGAAAATTGTTCCTGCATCAGACACTCAGAAGACAATGCCTCACTGGAATCATCTAGAAAAACACCAATCACACACACAATTGTTTCTAGAAAATTTCCACTGCAATGTAAAAAAACTAGAATAAACAATTCATATAGGCAGATTATAATTTATTTTACCACATGGAACTTACAATAATCAGTTGGAATACTAAAAAGTCTTTATCAAAACTCAAAGATGGCAATCTAATTTTTGACCCCCACGCAATCTGGGGATGTTTCCAGACAATTCTACAATTTTGACATCAATACAAGATATTAAATAATCTAGATACAACACTGTACTGTGCTAAAGGGGACAGATTAAAGGACTGAAAGATCTGGACTTGCACACTGTAGAGATGTAGTTCTGGACAAAACCACTTTATTCTCAAATTTCCAGCTGCTTAACCTGGGGGCTACTACCCAGCCCTGCCTACTACCCAGGAGGCTGTAAGGAAAACATGGGACAGGGCTCTCAAGACTATAAAAGCCAGTATTGGGGAATTTACCAGTTGTATATAAGATCTTTTTAATACAGAAAAAGTACTATAAAAAGCCACTCAATAGATACATGGTACACATTGGAAAACAGTTTTTCTGGTTATAATTTAAAAGCGTAATTTAAGGGAACAAGCTGGCTGCTTAGGAGGCACTATAATTGCATCAGTGTAAGACACCAGATGTGCCATTAAGACGAATGTGCTAATCTCATGCCCCAGGCATCAGGAGGTCATTAGGTAGCACAAGTGGCAATTACGTCATACCCCTTTTCTAGCCTGAGCTATAGATTTGTTTCATTTGTTAACATTTCATCAAGACTATGATTCATAACCACCATTCA